AAGCAGACGTAAATGAACCCACTTACATAACCTACAGTTATCAACCCAAAGAAAACAGAATTAAAGCAGAGGCTGCAAGAGGGAGTGGTGTTATAGGAGGTGAGGATTGAGGATGATTATAACGGGGATTGTTATTTAAAGAGTATGGCTGTGAAGCTATTTTGAATTTGCAAAATAAAAAAAAAATCCAGAGATGGGTTGTATATAGGCAGATGTTTCAGTCCCCCCAGGTCCTGCAGTCATTTAGTCTCAAAGAAACACACAGTTTATAGACTGTTTGGCCAGTAGATCAGGGCTATTATTAACTAGATCTTATAACTTATATTAATCCATAATTCTTGTCTATGTTTAGCCATGTGCTTGGTACCGTTTCTCAGTAAGGCATTCTCATTTTGCTTCCTCTCCGTTGGACTGGTGACTGCATCTCTGCCTTTTCTCTTCCCAAAATTCTTTTAACCTGGTTGGCCTGCCTATATTTCCTGCCTGGCTACTGGCCAATCAGTATTTTATTAAACCAATACAAGTGACAAATCTTTACAGTGTACAAAAGCATTATCCCACAGCAGTTCCCCCACCCCCTTTTTTTCAAAACAAGACCCTGAATCTCTTCTCCTTTGTTTAGCTGTTTTCCTGTCCATTGTCCATAACAACTTGTAATCAATACACTAAACAAAGACAAACATCCATAATCCATTTTCTGGAAATATGGGTGTAGATTTCTAGGCTACTTCTTGCTGATTGGAGGTGCTGGTAATCTTATGGGGACCCAAAGAAAATTTAGGATTATGATCAAGTCCTGACTGAAGTATTCTATAGGGCCATATCATCTCTGCCAACAGCCTTGAAGCTGTTCTGGATGCAGAACCCAGGAGAAACTGCAACAGGGGTCCTCTGAAACGTTGGATCATCTGGGTCATTGGAGATTTTTCAGGAGGTCTTCCTTGATCAAACCTTATTTTTCTTAACCCAGAATGAATCCACAGCCCCTTATTTCTTGTGGAAATAAAAACAGAACTTCTTTCCCAAAGTAACATACCTTTTGACCTAAATTTTGAACTGATGATATTTTTAAAATATATAGGTTGGTTTAATCCAGCAGCATTTATAATCAAATGTCTTTTAGCAGTCGTTGCTCCTTCTTCAGCAGTCAAAGAATTCAGACAATGCAGTACAGTATCCAGACTGTCTGTGTATAGTCCATCTTTATATGGCTTTTTAAAAATTCTCTTTCTTTTATTTTTATTTTTAATTTTTATTTTTAATTATAATTTTAATTTTTGCTTTTATGAGACAGGGTTTTTCTGTGCATCTTTGGCTGTTCTGGAACTCACTCTGTAGACCAGGCTGGCCTCAAACTCCCAGAGCTCCACCTCCCAAGAGCTGAGATTAAAGGCATGTGCTACCATACCCAGATATACTATTAATTTTGAAAAAGATTTTCTTTATCCTTTTTCTCCCCCAAGCCTATGAATATTTTTAAACACACTGTAAATCATCAAGATGTTTTTATTTCATCTGAATCTGTCTTTACTGTATATCTCTATCTTTTTCTGAGCATATGAGTCTCAAATCAGGTAAGCATCAGGGCTAGGATTAAAGTCATGGCTTTGGTGGCTGGCTCTATCCCATTCCTTAGCTTTCTGAGAGTCTAGCTTCATAGTGGAGGTACTGGTGGGAGCCACATTTATTTTTATAACACTGTGGAGTTTCTAGGTCCATGTCACCACCAAGAAGCCTAATGACAGCTGCTCAGAAACACCATTTACATGTTTGGTTGGTGATAGAGAGTCTTAAAAGAGCTGTGAGGTTTTTGCTGCTAATGCTGGGCAAGGAAGCCTCTCTTAAAGGAGCCATGCCTCTGTTTTTCATCAGCAAACAGAGCCTATTGGAGAAAAGATGGTTATCATAAAGCTGCACTTGAATCTGTTCTTGTCTGTCTAGAATCCTGTTTTTAGGTTTTTCTCAGGCTTTATATGGAAATTCTTGCCAAATATTTGGGTGCCATTTGTAATCACAAGTTTCTGTCACACCTGGTTCCCTAGCTATTCATTCTCCCCCCCCCCCAAAAAAAAAAACTCACACTGAGGCTTATATTACCTATAAACTGTTTGGTCTATTAGTTCAGGTTTATTATTAACTAGTTCTTAAAATTTAAATTAACCCATATTTCTTGCCTATGTTTAGCCACATCGCTTGGTACCTTTTCTCAGTGAGGCATTCTCATCTTGCTTCATCTGCATCTGGTTGGTGACTGTGTCTCTGCCTTTTCTCTTCCCAGAATTCTCCTAGTTTGGTTTCCCTGCCTATACTTTCTGCCTGGCTATTGACCAATTAGCACTTTATTAAACCAATACACGTGACAAATCTTTCAGTGTACAAGAGCATTTTCCCATAGCAGTTCCCCCCTTTTCCCTTTTTCAATCTTGTATGAGCAGCATGAATATTTTTAATATTATTGAACTATAAATTTAAAAATGATTAAGAATGGTGTCCTGGCTGGCTTTCTGCATCAATTTGATAAAAGCTAGAGTCATCTAAGTGGAAAGAACCTTAGTTGAGGAAATGCTTCCAGAGGATTTAGCCTTGAGGCATTTTCTCATTAGTGATCAATGGGAGAGGGCCCAGCCCATGGTTGGTGATGCTATTCCTGGACTTGTGGTCCTAGATTCTACAAGGAAGCAGCCTGAGCAAGTCATGCGAAGCAAGCCAGTAAGCAGCTCCCCTTCATGGCCTCTACATCTGCTCCTGCTTGCAGGATCCTGCGTTGTTTGATTTCCTGTCCTGACTTCCTTCAGTGGTGAATAACAATGTAAGGTGAAGAAACCATTTCCACCCCAACTTGCTTTATGGTTATGGTGTTTCCTTGAAATAATGGAAACCCTTTTTAAGACAGATCGATATAGTAGCACACACCGTTAATCTCAGCACCAGGGAGGCAGAGACAGACAGATCTCTATGAGTTTGCAGTCAGCTTGGTCTACATAGTAAGTTCCAGGATAGACAGAGCTGCATAGTGAGATCCTGTCTACACACACACACACACACACACACACACACACACACACACAACACACACACACACAATAAATGTTTTAAATAGTTAATTATCTTATACATACTTCCACAATTAAACAAAACAGGCTCCAAATAGAGATCAATATATTTATTCCTCAATCTTACTATGTTTGCTAAACTTCACTAGTTGTGAAATGAACAAAAAGGCCTTTGGATTGTGTGTGTGTGTGTGTGTGTGTAAAACATTTCAAATTAGTTTTTCACATAATAATCTGGAGCCCCTTTTCAAAAAACCCACAGGGTAACGAATTATTCTTACTCCTTAAACCCGATTAAAAGTTCCTACTACTTTAAACTGAAAGTAAAGACTGGCCCTAGGCTTGTCTGTTTTTCTTTTCTAGTTCCTTGTCCATGTTTCGTCTGAGAACGTTTCTTCATATATCTCAACTATAATAGTTCAGATTGGGAGGGGGTTCCAGTCCTGTACTGTACATCCTAGTAATAAATATGTTAATAAAACAGCTATATTAGAACTTTAGCTCATTGATGTGATGAGCTTTTAGTAAACGACTCAACTGTGTGCTGTTTATCAGTCAATCCTGACAAAAGTCTAATAAAGGTGATGATGAGTTAGAAAATACCTTCAGCTGAAAGGTAGACTTGGAATTTGTTTTGAGACAGCAAGATTTAAGCGGTGTAAATTTTTGTACATAAGGGATTGTTTTCAATTGGACGTTGAATCTTTGAAATTTGGTAAGCAAAAATGGTGGGGGATCATCGTAGCTGTCCAGAGGGGTGATGATATTAGCTTGGGGAGGGAGATAGCAAGGATGCAGAACTAGAAAGTAGAAGTTTTGAAGCAGATCAAGATTTAGATGTAGGAGGAAAGATTGAGAAAAGAGAAATTTTTCATTATTTGTGTGTGTGTGTGTGTGTGTGTGTGTGTGTGTGTGTGTGTTGTGGGGGGATTGTGTGCTTGCCATAGGGAGCATGTGGAGATTGGAGGAGGACAACTTTCCCAGAGTCCTTTCTGAGAGGACCTTGGAGTCAGCAGAGAACACACCCAGACACCAAATTCTCAGGTCACAGATTTTGCTACCCCCACCCTGGCCGCTCTGTATAGGACAAAGACAGCAGATGGTATTTCTTCTGCAGCAGTGTTTTTGTTTTTGTTGTTGTTTTCGAGATAGGTTTTCTGTGTAGTTTGGAACCTGTCCTGGAAGTAGCTCTTGTAGACCAGGCTGGGCTCAAACTCAGAGATCTACCTGCCTCTGTCTCCGGAGTGGGAAGTCTGTGTTGGGGTGAATTGGTGACATGTCAGCCAGTGTAGGTAAATAATGAATTTTGGTTGCTGGATCTTTGCGTTTTGATAGCTAGAACTTGGAGTTTTAGTCAGGCATAAGGAAGTGGTCACGTAAGAGAATAGACCTTGGTGACTAGCTTTAGGACTATAACGTAACGGTGTACCAAGGAAGAGGGAAGGGGAGAGGGCAAGAACTGTGGACGCCATGTTTTTCATTTTCTCTTTTTCTACATTGAGTTCCAAGGATCGAACACAGGTCATCCGGTCTGTGTTGCAAGAACTCTCACCCGCTGAGCCATCCTGCTGGTCCTAGCAGGTATTTCACGAGACTTGTGTGCAATAATGTGGAAGATAACTTAGACACAGAAAACTACGATGTAGCAGCAATTTTACTATTTTCTCTGGCTGCTCAAAGTTGAAATGGGGAAGTAAAGTTCAGGATAGATTATTATTATTACTAAGAATCCTTAACCGGTAAGAAGAGGTGGCGTGAGTTGACAGAAAGGATCAAACGAACCCTTTCAATTCCTTCCTAGAAAGCGCTGGCCCCAACTTTTCAGGATGACTGAATCGCTAAGTACAGCCGGTTTCCACGCCCAACATAAAAATTCTTCCCGCCAGCCCGCGCGCCTGGCCAGCCAATCAACGCCGGTCACGTCATCACCGCGCGCGCGCACTTGGCGCGTCAGCGACTGGCACACGTGTGCTCTGTTGACTGTCAAAGTCTCAAGGTGCCGAGTGTCCGGAAGCTCCGAGTTCGGACCGAAGTTCTGCCCGCCACCCTGCAGATTCCCCGGCCCGCCGGTGAGTCCCGAACCATGAGCGCCGCGGGCGTCCTGTCCTTTGCCCAGCAAGGCTGGGAGCAGGTGCTGGCCAAAGTGAAGTGGTCCGTGGTCTACCTGGACGCCGCCTGCGCCGAGAGCCTGCACTGGAGCTGCGGATCGAGCAGGCTCCTGGAGGCGGTGCAGGGCCCTGCGTGCTCCCTGAGGGAATTCGAACCCGGGGCCATCGGCGGTGGAGCCCAGCAGCCCCGGGCGGTGTTCGTGTTGAGCTGTCTGCTGAAAGGCCGGACGGTAGACACTCTCCGAGACATCGTTCGCCGCAGTCACTTTCAGTACTGTGTGGTGGTCACGGCCGTGAGTCACGCCGTCCACCTCACTGCTAACCACGTACCAGCGGCCGCAGCGGCCGAACTGGAGGGGCAGCAGCCGGTGTTCGAACAGCTGGAGGAGAAGTTATGTGAGTGGATGGGCAACGTGAACTATACAGCCGAGGTGTTGCACGTCCCTCTGTTGCTTGCTCCTGCTGCTCCCCACCTTGCCATCACTCCCGCCTTTGCTACCCTTTTCCCACTGCTACCTCGGGATGTGCATCTCCTTAATAGTGCCAGACAGGATAAGAGGAGGCTGAGCAGCTTGGGGGAAGTGGATGCCGCTGCCCTGACCCCCGAGCTGCTGCTGCACATTAGATGCCTGGTGTCAGGCCTCAGTTCGCTGTGTGAGCATCTAGGGGTACGAGAGGAGTGTTTCGCTGTGGGGTCCCTCAGTCGGGTCATCGCTACGGATCTGGCAAATTATGCCCCTGCCAAGAACAGGAAGAAGACCGCCACCGGCAGGGCTTCGGTGGTCTTTGTGGATCGAACTCTGGATCTCACAGGTAAGTGGAATTTCTGGTTCTTCATCTTGGCATTCCCAGATACAGGACCCGTGCATTGATTCAGCCTTATTGGCCTCGTATTGAGGTTGACAATACAAAGATGAACTAAATGAATCAGTTCCTAATTTGACAGCGTCTGGAGTTATTTTGTCTGGTGGAGGAGGGGTGGATATAGACAAAGTACGGTATAATTTGTTAAATGCTGTAACGGGGCAAATATGGCCTTAGTGTGCGTTTATGTTTTCTTTTTTTAAATACTGTACTTAGTCTAAGAGACTGGAAAAATGAGATGACTGTAACATGGAGTAAACTGCCATCACCTGAGACTGTTAGAAATGTCCTAATACCAGTTGTCTTAGTTAGATTTCTATTGCTGTCTTGAAGCACCATGGCTAGAAACAACTTAAGGAGGAAAGGGCTCATTTGTCTAACACTTCCAACATCATAGTCCACCAATGAAGGAAGTCACCATAGAAACTCAAAGAGGGAAGGAGCCTGGAGGCAGGAGCTGATTCAGAGGCCGTGGAGGGGTGCTGCTTACTGGCTTGCCCCACATGGCTTGCTCAGCCTGTTTTCTTCTAAAACCGCTAGCCCAGGGGATGACTTTAGTTTGTTTCCTGGGACCTACATGGCTGAAGGAGAGAACTGACTTACTTCAGTAGTCCTCTGATATCAGTGGACTTGCATACTCTGTGGCTTGCAGTAGCCCCAGATGCAAATAAATAAGTGTAATTTTTTCAAAAGTGAAACTGGCCAGGCGATGGTGACTCATGCCTTTCATCCCAGCCTTTGGGATTAAAGTTGTGAGTTTGAGGTCAGTCTGGTCTACATTGTGAGTTCCAGGACAGCCAATGCTGCACAGTGAAACCTTGTTTGAAAAACCAAAGAACCCAATGAAACTGACCTTACATGTAAGAAGATGGAAAAAGAATTGTACAAAATATTTTCAAATGTATATTGATTTATTCTATAGCAATCTTAAATTGTAGCAGTGCATTATTTATAGTTACAAGGAGAAATCTCTAACCTTAAAGTAGGTGAAGAAAAAAAATGCTTTCTGATATATTATGTGAGCATTTATTTTTCAGGGGTCAACTTTGTCCTTGAGTTAAGTAGATATAATTCAATAATAGTGTGGGCTAGCCACTCAAGGTCAGTGAGAACAATCAGAAAACTGATATCAGAAGGTGTTCCATTTATAGGTCAGAAAAAATCTCGGTAATTTTATAAAAGCTAATAAGAAGTATATTTGAAATTTTACCTTAATTAGATGGATTTTAAGATCATAAAATAGAGAGTAACTTAAATGGTAGTTCTGAGGGAATGCTAGTGGGATGGACCTTTGGTAATCGTAGCTAATTTCAAGAGGGCAGTGGCCATGTCATGCCCGGTGGGCAGTACAAAACACAAGTCAGCAGAAGACTTCCATACCTCCCAGTCACCAAATCTTTTACACGTTCTGTAGAGTTAACTCTTTCTTTCATATTAAAAGGGAGCATCCCTTCCTGCCTAATGTTTTCACCCATGTAGGCTAGCTCAGTGTTCTCTCTTATCACTTCTCTTGAATTTACTTCTGGTGAGTACCCCTAAGTTGATCATTCCCCCATTTTTTCAGACTTTGATCTTTGGATCAGACAGGCTGGAGCATATCCTTTCTTGACTCCTCATGATCATCCAGCCCCAATTCCATCTTATTTGGCTTCATTTTGTAGCAGCCTTGGGAGGTGTCTAGATTGTGAACACTTGCTCTTTCCACCATCATCTATGTCCGTTTCTATTCTTTACTTCCATTCTGTTACACTTTTATTTTTCCTGTGTTTCCAAATCCAGGGCTTGAATCATAGGATTCCTTCCCACCCTCCCTTCCCCTGTATCTCAGAATAGCATCTACTATAGTAGAATAAACCAAAGAGTAAAAGGAAATTTAGGGCTAGGGAGATGGCTCATTGGGTAAAGTGCTTGCTACACAAGCATGAGGAGCTGAGTTTGAATGCCAAGAACATGTGCAAAAGCTAGGTGTGATGGCCCGGGTGTCAGAGCATGTACCTGTAACCTCAGTGCTGGGCGGTGGCAGCGGCAGTGGCCACGGTAGTGGTGGTTGGTATGGAGTGGCAGATCTAACCAATTCGTGAGCTCTAGAGTCAGCCACAGAATGTCTCAAAGAAATAAGACAGAGAGCCATAGAGAAAGACATGTGTTGTCTACCTCTGCCTTCTACGAGCACACACGAGTGTGAGCATTTTGGCAAACATGTGGTCAAACCCCCAGTTAAAAATGAAAGGTATAAAGATAGAGAGATGAGGACTTGGTGAGTTTACTGCGTGATTGTATCAGCCATAAATCCCACATGCTGGTGTTTTGCTGTGTCCTCTCATCATGTTAACTTTGTCTCTTAAAGTTCCTGTCTCCATCTCCAAGTCTGGGATTACTTCTGTGTGTATTTGGCTACATATTTGATAGTTAATAATGTGCTTATAATATATATATATATATATATATATATAGTTTTCTTATCATTTTTCCATCACCTTGTTGAAAATATTATTACCTCTTATCTTTTCCAGTAAACATTTATTGGATATCCACTGTGTTCAGCACTGTTTCAGGTGCTAATAAGACAGTGATGATTACACTAGTTTCTTGCCCTTTAGAGGCAGTTGATAAGCTCCAAGGTTTTAAAAAAATGTAGAATACTTGTAGTTGTTTGAGAATTAAGTGCATTCACATTCAAGAGAGATCTTCCTGAATCTTAAGCTGTAATTTGAATAGAATATCTACTGTGTAAATAAGCATAATAATTCACACTTAAGGATTTATTGTTATAATTAATTGCAAATTATGAATTAGAAGTGCACAGCATAGAATTTGATACATGGTACATCAGGAGCCCTGGGTAGGTAGTAGTTACTGCTATGAGCGGGATGATGATGGTGATGATGATTTCTTGATTCCTGAGGGCCTTCATGTTTAGTCCTTCTGTCCCATTAATATGACATGGTAAAACACAGAGAGACAGAGAGGCACTGGGCAGCAGCATGTGAGCAGACTGGAAGTGACTCAAACTTGTGGCTGTGCCATGTCCCATCCATGGTTGGAGTGATGTCTTCCAAGCAGAGGTGGATTTTAGAGAGATAATTTAATTTCATAGAAAAAACATTGACTGTATCTTTGCCTTCAGTTTCAGTTAAAGTACATTTATTATTAAAATTTTGATATTACTATTCAGATAGGATCTCACGTATGTAGTCCTGGCTGGCCTCAAAATCACTGTGTGGCTGAATTTGATCTTGAACTTCTGAATGTCTTGCTTCCATTCTAGGATAACAGGTATGGGCCACCACCACTCAGTTTTATGTGGTACTGGAAACCACCAGGCTTCATGCATGCTAGGCAAATGATGTACCATTTAAGCTGCATCCTCAGCCCATTGTTTGCCCTTATCCCTGGAGTTGATATGTACAACTACAGATCTTGATATACAGAAAGCATTCAATAGATGTTGGTAAATGCTTTTTATTATAAGCTGTTACCATGTATTTACTTACTCTCCCTCTTTTTCAACAAATATTTAGTGAAAGTCTGCTGGTTGCCTTTCTATGCTAGAGCTTGTGAATACCAGGTAAACTAGAGGAAGGGTGCCTTTGTCATCACAGAGATAAGGCTGTAGTGGCAGGAAAATCGGTTATTCCTACTCGACCCCCAAGCTTTTTCTGGTCATTGTGTATTTTTTTAAATTTATTTATTATGCATATAGTGTTCTGGGTACCAGATCTCATATAGATGGGGTGTGTCATCATGTGGTTGCTGGGAATTGAACTCATGACCTCTGGAACGACAGTCAGTTCTCTTAACCTCTAAGCCATCTCTCCAGCCCTGGTCATTGTGCATTTGTCATCAAAATAAAAATAGAATTCAGCTTCAGAATTTCAGAATAGCATCACCTATGACAGTAGAGAACTGACTGACTCCATGCTGATAACTTACTTAGCAGACTGTTATTGATGCTGCTGGTCTGCTCACTATACTAGGTTCTGAGATATAACAGTAACCAAAGCAGATGAGAAGCCCATCTTCATGAACATTGCATTCAATCCATGAGGCACACATTGACTGGGTAGTTGAGGATATGACTTACATGACAAACAGCAAACTTCTAAGTTGTTGTTATTAAGCATCAGTTGTTTTTAGTTTTGGTAGAAGAGACATCGTGAAGCATGCATTCAGTTAACGTTTTTCTGTCCGCTTTGAGTTTCCATTTGCTCATGTGGTTCACAGGAGCGGTTGGACATCATGGAGACAACTTAGTAGAGAAGATCATTTCAGTGCTTCCACAGCTTCCAGGCCACACCAACGATGTGATGGTCAACATGGCAGAGCTCACCGCTGTCCAGGCCATGGAGGAAAATCACAGCGTGATTGCACCAGGCTGCCTTGCACAATCCAAGTAAGACATGTGGCTATGCTTTGTTTTTCTCTCATTCTTCTTCCTCTTCCTTTTTTCTTATCTAAGACAGAAAATCTCTATAGAAAAGAAATGAAATGAAATGAATCTTGCTGGCACTTGGAAGAGAAGTCAGGAGAGCCAGGAGTTTAATATCATCTTTGCCTAGTTAGCCAATTCCAGGCCATCCTGAGCTACATGAGATCCTGTTTTTAAAAGAAGAGAAAAAGAATGAATGCATGAAACACTACTCAAGTAGAAAAGTCACAATGGGTAATATTTAGGAAAATGCCACTTTTAAATATACAATTAATCTTACCCACTAAATATAGTAAGCCATAGAGTATGGCATTTTATGGGCGTGCCATCAGATGTAATATTAAGATTTATCCAACATCTGAGAAGTGAATCCATGTATTGATTTCCATTTAATAGATAGTTTTATAGGAATTAAGTCTGGGATTCTACAGTTTCTCTTCATACATGACTTTCTCAGATGATTAAATGTAACCCACATAGGTATGAATCAAAGCCATATTTTATATTTAAATAATATGCTTTTGGGCATCACTGGGTGATGTTTTTGTTTCAAGGTATATATCTTTTTTTCACACCCTTCGAGAAATCAATAAAGAACATATGTACTTGAAGTCATGCAGTGTTTCAAAAATAAAAATTTTCTGTAGACATGACAATAAAAACATACATAACCACACTTTTTCAACTCTGTCCTTCATTCACATTCTTAGAAGAATTATTGTTGCTTTGCATATTTACTTATTATTTTTTATGTGTGTGAGTGTTTTGCCTGAGTGGATGTATGTGTCCATGTGTGATGCCCATGGAGGTTAGAAGAAGTGTCAGAGTTCCTGGAACTGGAGTTACAGACAGTTGTGAGCTGACATATGAATGCTCGTGGGTCCTCTCCAAAAGCACTCAGTGCTCTTAACCAACTGAGCCAGCTCTTCAGCCTGCTAGTTTTTAAATGAATTAGTACTGAAATAAGAGTATTTATTTTCTTTATCTATTTTGTATTTTTAAGCAAAACAGTTTTTTTGGGGGGGAAGAAAATTGTAAAGTTTTGTTTTTGTCTTTTTGCTGCTTAAATAAATAATGAGGAACTAGAGCAAGAGCTTGCTGTTCTTCCCAAGGTCCTTATGATGGGGGGTGCTTCTCAGAAACTAACAGTTGAGTGCATTCTGTGAGCTGAGAAATTTGAGGACACAAAAGAAGGTAAACCAGCATTCCTGTCTTCATGGAACACTGTTTTTGTTGTGGTGGTGTCATGAGTAATGCTCAGCCATAATGGGAAAAGCATAGATCTGACCTGACTTGAGCTGAGCTGCCACTGGTGACCACTCCTACAGATAGGTGTCAGGTAAATGCAGTTAGGTTGACCTCATGGAAGAGTGGCCTTGAGTTGATTGTGTCTCAAAGATTGGAAATAAGGCCCACATGAAAAGGGTGCTGCTCGGGTCTGCTGTGATGTGAAGAAGAGACACCCTTACAGGGTACCACTGTCATCAGCTCTGTAACATTGTCCAGAACCTACTATTGTGTCAAGCTCATTCCCAAGCATCTTGTGGCTGGGAAGTCATTTTAAGTTTTGCAGTAAATCAACTAGGGTCATTTCCCCATTTTTCAGGTAAGGAAATTGAGATAATAAGACAGTAAATACATAGATGTGGAGCTAGAAATGCCCCCAGAATGTCTGATTTCAGAGCCAGTGTCTTCCCTTCTGTGCTACCATATGGGCCCAGAGGAGAGACAAGTTCTTCACCAGACTCAGGAACTCAAAAAGACACAAATAAAGTCACTTCAGTATTTAGTATAGAAAGTCCTATTTGTTCATGGTGGGTTTTTATAGAACAATAGAAAACATTTGCATATTTCAGTGAAACAGGGGAGTGTTAAAAGGTGTTTAACAGCTAATCAAATCAAAGGAAGAATGTTGATCAAACTTTTGAAAGTAGAAATAGTTGGAGTCTAAAAAGTAAGAACTCAGGAAAAACCTCTTCAAAGCTTTGACATCAGAGAGACTTAGTTTTAACAGCTTCCTTTCTTTTAGTTCCTCTGCTTAGAATGGGCCTATCTTGGCCTATCCCCATTTTGCCTGGTAGGGGTTGGGAGCAGTTCGTACAAAGAACTATGTTGAGATCATTGCATGGCAGGGAGGTAGGTATCTATAGACAACTGGAGAACATAAGAGACCAGACAGGAGATGCCATTAGGACATAGAGCACATTTAAGAGAGGACTTGGCATGCCACTTTTGAACACTTAAGATATGTTAACTGATTTCATGTCTCTCAAATCTGTGAGACAGATTCTGTCATCCCTCATTCTAACCCTGTCGGTTTCATCATGTTACTTAAGGTGTCATATTCAGTTAGAGAAGTGGAGGTCTGGTTCTAAGTACGTGCTTCCCATACTCCATGTCTCTTTTGCAGAAGCCTAAAGTCAAAGGACAAGAAGGCTCCTGAGAAAAGGTTGTAAAATAGGAGGAATTGGGGTTGATCAGAGTACAAGAAAACATGCGAACCCTTACACATTCGACAGCACAGCTAGAGGAGTGGAAGCAGCCTCAGACCCTTAACAGATGTTTTGTTTTGGCAGTGTATTTAGTCTTTCCAGCATCCATTCTACATCAGGCTTTCTTCACAGCTGGACGCGTCCTGAGGTGTCTTTTCCCTCGCCAGTGATTGTTTAAGAAATGGGTATGATACCTGAGACCATGTTAGTGTCTGAGGGCCTTGCTACCTCCGGGGTCATACTGATCTGCGTGGTCTGTGCTGCCACTAGGGCCATGGTGACATCTGGGCCAAGCTGCTGCCGAGGACCATGTCTGAGTCTGTGTTCCTGCTGTAGCTGGGGTCTGTGATGATGTCTATGGCTTGTGTTACCATGTGGGGTGGCTCGTAGGAGCCTTGACATCCAAGGACCATGCAGAGCTGGCCCCACTGCTCACTGGCCCTGGGATAGCTGGCCCTGCCTCTCTCTGGATAATGCAACAGAATAACTGGTCCCACTCTATAGATGGATTTTTTTTTTGGGCGACCAGCTCAAAAAAAATGACATGGACTTTTATTAATAATATATTTAATATTTAATAATTAACTTATTAAAATGAGATTTATTATAAGGCTCAGCCTTAGCTTATTTGTTTCTAAGTAGCTCTTATAACTTAAATTAACTCCTATTTTTAATCTACATTCTTCCACATGCTCCTTATCTCATATCCATTATGCCCTTTCTGATTATTCCATGTCTGACTCTGCCTTTCTTTTTCCCAGAGGTCTCTCTGTTTAGAAGTTCTGCCTATACCTATACCAATAGCTATTGGCTATTTAGCTTTTTATTAAACCAATCTCAGTGACATATCTTCACACAGTGTAAAGGAATTTTCTACAACACTGCCAAACCACAGAAGAGCTGTCCCCACTCTGCCCCCTCCCCCAATCAGTATGACCTCCATCCCTCAACAAAGGTGGGTGGCTGCAGTGGCCCCAACCTACCAGTCCAGCTACCACCCAGACCCACATCCTGGACCTCGAGTTGACCCACTGTATCATCTACCCCTTCTATGACCTGCTGGAGTGCGTGAAGAGTGTGGTCCTTCAGAGTGATAACTGCAGGATCTCCATGACTCTGAACAACAGCAGGATGTCTGAGAGGAGCTTTGGTGAGGGTCCAGTCATGATGGTGTGCCAGAGGTCTTGAACCCAGACCAACAACTCATTACAATGAACATTTTGCGGGTGGGGCTGATTGATCAAAAGGGTACAATTTGCGGGTGGGGCTGACTGGTCAAAAGGGTACATTTTGCGGGTGGGGCTGATTGGTCAAAAGGGTACATTTTGCTGGTAGGGCTGATTGGTCAAAAGCGTACACTGTGTGACACATGTAGCTCCCAGTGCCACTAGGATGAATGAAGAGGTGTTGGAAAAATGAGGAGGGAGGTAGGGTTTTTTGTTTTGCTTTTTAATTAATTTTTGGAAGGATTCTTTTGCGGCGACATGCTGTAGGGGTGAGGGGCAGATATGGAGGGACTGGAACGTGAGTGGAATTGGGGTGTATGATATAGAATTCCCAAAGAATCAATAAAGAATTAAATGATTGGTTTTCTTTTTCACTCTTTTCTCTTTGGGAGACCACCACCCAACTTCCAAATAAATACACTGAAAACTATTCTTACTTACAAATGGCCAGCCTTAGCTTGACTTGTTCTATCCAGCTTTTCTTAAATTACTCAATCTACTTTTTGCCTCTGAGGCTTTTACTTTTCTCTGTTCTACATCTCCTTCTTCCCTTCTTACTCTGTGACTTGTTGTATAGCTGGGTGGCTGGCCTCTGGTGCCATCCTCTCCTTCTCTCCTCCTATTTGTTTTCTCTGCATAGCAGCCCCACTTATCCCTCTCTCCTGCTTTGCTATTGCTGTTCAGATCTTCATTAGAGCAATCAGGCGTTTTAGACAGCAAAGTAATACAGCTTCACAGAGTTAAACAAATGCAACATAAAAGAATGCAACACATCTTTGCATCATTAAACAGGTGTTCCACAGCATAAATAAATGCAACGCATCTTCAACTAATATTCCACAACAGAATTATGTTTAAAAAGTGGGTATGAGGCAAGAGGGACCATCTTCTTGCTCAGATCTTTGTTTCCTAAAGTGACTCAAGCTTAACCCTGGCTCCTTCTCTATTACTCTTCTCCCCTAACTCCCAGGACTCCTTAAACTGCTGCAACAGGGAAGGTCAGTGACTCAGATTGTTGTAAACAGAGCAATTCTTGGATCCCCCACATAATGTTTGAGTCTCAAAATAAGGGATAAAATATACTTCTTCATTGTTTAAGGTAAATATAATTGCTGTTTTCAGGCAATCACAACCAAAGCCATGCTGACACATTTTCTGTTTCTAATTTCATCTATAAAATGAGGGCATTGCTCTAAATGCTATCTGTGCCTCTTGTATTTTAAACAAAAGTCATCCTACCTAAGCT